GGATCTAAGTTTAATAACAAAGTGCTGGATTCGTACTTAATAGAAAAAGGAATTTCGCATAACTTCTCTTCGCCCTATACACCTCAGCAAAATGGTGTTTGTCTTAATACAAAATAGGTCACTTTGCGAAGCAGCAAGAACTATGTTGACATATGCAAATCTTCCTAAAAATGATGACTTGGAAATTCCTCAAAATATTGTAGATGTTAATTCAACAACAAATTCTCCCAGAGTTGGCGAAAGTATGCATAATAATCCAGTGGAAGGAGAGCACTTGGATTCGAATACTCTGGTTGAGGGGGAGCATTTTTCGAGGGGGAGAATGGGAGAATGGATGATCTAGTTGAGGGGGAGCATCAAAATGATAATCGTGTTGAGGAGGAGAATGAAGAAACTGATACAATCAATTTTAATCAAAACGATGATTTTCATGATCTAAATGATGATATTTTTGTTGCATGATCTAAAAATGAAGAGATGTACGAAGATGCACCTTTGGAGTTTGATCTGGCATATCCACCGTTAGAGAAATGGACAAAGACTCATCTGATAGATCAAGTCATTGGGAATCCTCAAGATGGAGTATTAACAAGAGCTCAGATTCGTGCAAAGAATGAGGTATTAAATACTCATCAAGAATTTTGCATGTTCAATGTTTTCATCTCGAAAATAGAACCAAAAAAAGTTAAGGTTGCAATGGAACACTCAGATTGGGTTGTTGCAATGCAATCTGAACTGGCTGAATTCGATAGAAACAAGGTTTGGCGATTAATTCCTAAACCTGAAAATGTTTCGATTGTCGGGTTAAAATGGATTTTCAAAAACAAAACCGACAAAGATGGAAATATTGTACGAAATAAAGCACGACTAGTTGTAAAAGGATATTCGCAACAAGAAGGGATTGATTATGAAGAAACCTTTTCCCCTGTTGCAAGACTCGAGGTTGTTCGAATATTCTTAGCTTATGCAGCTCATAAGGATTTCGATGTATATCAAATGGATGTGAAATGTGCTTTTCTCAATGGTGAACTTGAAGAAACTGTTTACGTTGAACAACCTCCAGGTTTCGTAAATGAAATGCATCCTGATCATGTATACATTTTAGATAAAGCAGTTTATGGGTTAAAACAAGCACCAAGAGCATGGTATGCAACTCTTACCAGTTTCTTAAAACAGTCGAAATTTAAACAAGGATCAGTTGATCCCACATTATTTCGAAAGAAAGTTGGGAATCATCTAATGCTTGTTCAAATTTATGTTGACGATATTATTTTTGGCTCTACTGACCCTGCTTTGTCTAGAGAATTTGAATGTTTGATGAAAAGCCATTTCGAAATGAGCATGATGGGCAAAATCAATAATTTTCTTGGCTTAAACATTCATCAAAGCAGAGAAGGCATTTTCATCAATCAGGAAAAGTATACAAGGAATTTGCTCGAAAAATTTGGAATGACAAATAGCACGAAGCTAAGAGTACCAATGGCTATTGGAACAAGGCTAGCCCCTTCGTTAGAAACGCCTGCGGTTGATCTTACCTTATACAGGAGCATGATAGGTTCATTGCTTTATCTTACTGCAAGTAGACCTGATATCATGTTTTCTGTATGTAATTGTGCTAGGTATCAAGCAAATCCACGAGAACCACATTTAATTGTTGTGAAGAATATCTTTCGTTATCTCAAGGGAACAATTTCGTTAGGATTGTGGTATCCTTCGAAAACAGGGTTTTTCATTCAGGCATTTTCAGATGCAGATCTTGGAGGGTGTACTTTGGATCGAAAAAGCACAAGTGGTGGTTGTCAATTTTTGGATGGCAAGTTGGTTAGTTGGCAGTCGAAGAAACAAACGTTTGTTTCGATTTCTACTGCTGAAGCTGAATATGTTGCAGCTGCTGCTTGTACATCACAAATTATTTGGATTCAGAGTCAGTTGAGAGATTATGCCGTGAATATGAAAAAGATTCCATTGTATTGTGATTCACAAAGTGCTATACGCATTTGTCATAATCCAGTACAACATTCGAAAACAAAACATATTGCTCTTCGTTATCACTTTATCAAAGATCATGTGGAAGATGGCAATATAGAAGTCCATTTTGTAAAAACAACGGATCAGCTTGCTGATATTTTTACAAAAGCTTTGGATGAAAAATCATTTGTTTGAATTTTGACAGGATTGGGAATGATCGAAGCAAGTTCAGTTCCAGGAATGATATCGCATGTATAACAACGAAGTGTTATATAAATATGTCGATTCAGAGGTCATCATGACTCATTCAGAGGCTGATAGTATTAACCATTCAGTGGTTACTGTTCATAGTCAACGCTTCGACATGCTTCGACTTCGTTACATTGAGCATTTTGGTTTGGTGTAACTCTTTTCGTTAGATTTCCAAAAAAAATTTTATCTTAGTTTTATTTTCGAAAAATCAAAAACTACAAAAAGATTTTATCTTTGTTTTGTCATTTTATTTTCGAAACATCAAAAACTAGAAAAAGATTTTATCTTTGTTTTGTCATTTTATTTTCGAAAAATCAAAAACTACAAAAAGATTTTATCTTTGTTTTGTCATTTTATTTTCGAAAAATCAAAAACTACAAAAAGATTTTATCTTTGTTTTGTCACTTTAGTTTCGAAAAATCACAAAATTCAAAAAGATTTTCTTTTGTTTTTTAATAGTTTCTTTTAAGAAAAATCAAAAACATCAAAAAGATTTTTGTTATTTTGTTCTTTATCTTTTGTGTGTACAGATTTCACGAAGGATAACCAAGGGTCATGCTTATGTTTCTCTGGGAAGGTACAATTTCGACAACTTTGTACTAGTTAGACTGTCCCTAGAAGCATGCTGCAGCATGTCGACCCAAGCCTCCATAGACTCAATGTGTGTTTACGAAAGCCTTAATGAAAATTTTCTTACGAAAATTTCTTCCCAAGTCAGGCTTATATTCACATTAGTCGAATGAGCTACCTTACTCTTCTCAAATGAGTTAAGAGTTGTCTGTTTGGTCTAATCATAATAGAGGTACAAGTGTTTTCATCAACCAATCTTTTTCATCAACAAATTTCTTACACTTGCACACACACGAAGACATATGTCCAAGAGATCTTTGATTCAACCAATCAAGATTTAGACATATCAAAATTCTGTGTTAATGATCTGACATCATGAGGCCGTGATGAAAGTGAAACCCAACATTCTATCTTCGTAAGGAATTGACGGGGAACTATGTTCCAGTTTTGACGAAACATTTGTTTCAGTACCACTTTTCGAAACTCCAAATCATATTCATTTCTTATGAGTAATCTTGATCAAACTATCGAAGCCCACGATGTTTGTTACCCAACAGGATTCAGTATTAATTTTGTTGTGAATATGATTTCCGTGTGAGTTTCATTTGCTTTCGAAGTTACTTTCAAAATAATTCAAAGCATACTTGTCACTGACTACACCGGTCAAACAAGTAATTTCGGTTACAATTACTCACCTTATGTTAAGGTTGATATGTAACGAAATTGTAAACTACCCATGAAGCCTTATAAAAGAAGCCCTTCGATACTTCTCTATAAGTATTCGATTGAAATTCACGGGAACATACACAAGCAGTTGATTATCTCTCTTGATAATTAACGAAGTAACCTTTGCCTGCGGTTTATCTACTTTTGTGTCAAATTGAATTGACATCACAAATCCAAATTTTTGTTTAATTGTTTCTTATCTTATCTTTGGATCACTGCACTCACGAAATCCTTGAGGTTCTGAGTAATACCAACTCAGGCTGATGATTTCAAACATCTGGCATATGACTTCGCTTTTTATCCCAAAAGTGAAAGAGCCTTACTTTCATCCGAAGATCAGTGACGGTTACAATTCAATTGAGATATACGATCAGTCTGTTTGAAAAGACGTTCTGTATTCAGTCTGGGTTTCTAGGTGATGTGACAGCTACTTTTTGACGCATGGCTACTTTATCGGCAGTATGGTGCGAGATTCAAGGTGCCACGTCGGATCTCATTTAATGCCAATCCCGCTTCAAATTCAAACACTAGGGTTACATATAAAAAGGGGAATCAAAGCGTGTTCTCAGTTTACGCTTCCAAACGAAAAATTCCTACTTTCTCTGAAACTTTCCGATTGTTCTTCAAAGCTTTCAAAAACCCTAATCATGGCCAATTCTGCTGAAGTTGTTGTTCAATCCCAAAACATAGAAGACATTACTTCCCAACCAATCATGAAGATTCAAGGCACAAATTATCAAGTTGAAGATGATGTTTCTTTATACCCAGATGAATTGAAGATGTTGGTAGTTGCCTTGAAGAGATCTGTTCTTTCCACTGCCATATTCAATTCGTTTGCAGTTCCACTTGCATGGCTTTCTCAAGCTGGATCCACTGCTACGTACAGCAAAGCAATGGATATCATCACTTTTCAACTGGTGAATGATAAGAAGATTCGATTGTCCAAGAAGATTTTCTGTCAAATTCTTGATATCCCAAATTCTCAAATCTATACTGATCTTTCATCTGCACAAATCATCCATATGTTCACTGAGATGGGTTATCAACCCCCACTCACCAAGATCAGTGATTTCAAGAAATCAGGACTTCCCACTGTTTGGAATTTTCTCTTCGGAATCTTTTTACGCTGCTTGACTGGTCGCAGTGTAGGGTTGGACAAAGGTCGAATGGAGGTGTATGCAATGGTGGCAGGGTTGTATTATGACATTACTGTGGATTATTCTACCCAACTATGGAAGGAATTTCAAAAGAGTGTCGAAAACACGAATGTCGTTCAAGGAATTTCGTGTGCTAGGTATTGGAGTTTAATCCTTCGATACTTTTATGCCAAAGAGGGGATTGAGGTGCCTACTGATGAGGAGACTGCTGAGTTCATCAAGTATCAATTTACGAAGGAGGTTTCGGATGATGCTGAGATATTTACACACATTGCAAGAATTCCAGATGCAATGTTACAATGGGTTGATCCAACGAATTTGGTTCTAATGGAGTACTTAGAAACAATCAATCCGGATGATGGTTCTGGGAAGTTGTTACCAAAAGAAACAGTAGGTCCTTCGAAGAAGTCTCGCAAGTCAAAGAAGGATGTAATAATTACTCCTGAGAAACCAGTACAAGAGCCAAAGAAAACGAAATCACCAAAACAGACGAAGCCAAATGCACAAGTTTCGACTGTTGTGGTTGAACCGGTGGAGCCTGTTGTTGATACTCAAGAAAAGGAAACACTACCATCAAAATTAGATATTTTTCGAAGGGTTAAGAAAAAGTCTCGTCGATCACGAAAGCTTTCCGATGGTTCATTTAAGTCTTCTTCGATGGTTTGTAAACCATATTTGAATCACCAAGGAATTCTCATTCGTTAGGTTCCAGCTCCTGTTTCTCCTTCTTCCAAGAAATGAAGAGCTGAAGATGTTGCTACACATATTTCGAAGAAGAAGTTGAAGAAAAGAAAGATGGTTGTTCAAGCAGACTCATCCGAAGGGGAGAAAGTTCCTGAAACTCCTGAAACTAATATTCTCCAATCAACGTCTATTCCTGAGAAGACTACGGTCACACCACCCGAAGTTTCGTTAACTGAATCAATTCTTGAGGAGGTTCAAACTTCAGACATCAATACAAACATATCTGATACGGATGTAAATTTCAATATGGGTGAAGGAAATACGAATAAAGAACTTGTTGTTTCGACTCAAGGTATTCCTGCATCCTCTGCTACTTTTGTTTCTTTACCACCATTCATAATCCCTATCTCAAACACTACAAACTCACCCACCTTTGAAACCATTTTCAACCAACCCATCACAACTTCGTTCTCATCGCAAACCACTGATCCACTTCAAAATACTAAGGATACTGATGTTGACGAAGGGGGTTTTGGGGGAACATTTGAAGAGATAGAATTTGACGAAGAAGAAGAAACTTACCCCGACAACATGTTAATGACAATGAAGCAATTCAAGATTTTGAATAAGAAGATGAATTCTATTATTCAATCTCAAGCTGACATGGGGGGAAGTCAATCTCTTTCGAGTTTGGAATTGGATGTTATGCTTAAAGCATTTGAAGCCAGAATGGTTAATAAAGTGTCTGGAATGCTTCAAGATTCTGAGTCTAAAATCTTGGAGAAGGTGGATCAAAGTGATAAGTGTAATGAATTGCGGGTGAAGTCTCAGTCTTCGAACTTTGTGAATGAAGTTCAAGATTTTACGAAGGATGAATAAAGAAAGACATGTTTTATTCATTAAAGATATGAAGTAAGCTTTAAGAACTTCGTGAAGACATGATCAACGAGATTGCTAGTGCTCAGAAAGACTATGCATCTCTTAATAAAAAGGTGGATATCATTTGTGAGGCTGTCACAAAATATGTCAAGTTGTATGAAGGCTTGAGTCCTGAAGTTACTCAACTTTCAACAGCTAACAGTCGAAGCTTTGTGGAGCTTACTTCTTTGTTGAAGGAGTTGAAAATTGTGTCTACCACACATGTTGCCTCTTCAATAATAACTCCAGAATTCTTGTCTCAGAAGTTTTCTCAGTTCGAGGCTGTGTTGCACAAACAGTTGGCTCCATTATCCAAGTATTCTAGTTTGATACCAACAGATGCCCACCTGTTGTCACAGGGGTGCAAGGGGGAGAGAAGAAGGTTGGTAATACAAAAGTTGGTGAAGGTTCGCATGAAGCTGTGAAAACTGTTGGGAAGATTTTTCAAACAACAATTCCAGTATCGAAGCCAATTATCTCAACTGCTGGCCCTATTACTTCGACAGTTGTGACAACAATGCCAATTTCAAAGAAGCCAATTCCAAGACCAATTTCTAAAGGAATTGTGATTGGGGAAGGTGGCAGCAGTTCGAAGCCTAAGGAAGTTGTTGATAGTTCTTCGATCAAAGATAAAGGAAAAACAATTATGGTCGAAAAATCAAAAGAAGAGAAGAAAGCTGAAACTGATGCTGAGCTTGAGAAATTGAGGGTTATACAAAGCATTTTAAGTCTTTGTGCAAGTGACCCACCTGGAATGAACAAGGGTGATCCTGCAAAGCATTACAACTATGAAACAATCGAAGCAAGAGTTGCATATAACCGTATGTATGCTTTTGAGAAGAAGCCGAAGCAGAGCTATGCCGTTGTAAATACGGATATGAGACAACTGGATTTCCCAATCGACAAAATGATGTTCATCATGGTTCAGTACAAAATTGTTGAGAAATTCGACAATGATGATGATTACACATACATGAAGCTCAGGTTTCATGCTGTGTTAGGGAAATTTCCAGAGGAGATTTGGTCACTCGTGAAGATCAAAATGGTGATCAATATTCAGAAGGATGTTATTTTCGAAGACATGATACAAAACCTTCGATTTTATGTTGCAAGGGCGAATGGTTAGGAGTGTAATTTTTCGATTGCTTATTTTCCATTAATGAACTTGTATGATCTTATACAAGTTGCATTACTTCTGAAAGACAAAGATGCTTCGTATCTTCGAGAGACTGATCCAGAAGTGTTTCGTCTTGGTCTAGCTCACATCAAAATATTCATAGATAACTACTATAAGTGTTTGGCCCTAACGGATGTGGAGTTAGCTACTGCGAAGGGGTTAGAAGTGAAAGTACCCATGGAACCAACGAAGACTCAACCTGAGTTGAAGAAGTATGCTGATGGGGAAATATGCTTGAAGCCTTTTGGGATGGTCTTCGCAGGAAAAGATAAAAATGGAAAAGCCAAGAGATTCTTATTCCAAGCTTGCGAAGTAGAAAGATACACAACGTCCCAGTATATGAACTTCATTGTTCGTATCAATAGTTGCCAGAAGAATAACGAAGGCGACAAGAAAGAATTGAAGAAGATCATTTCTTGGTATTCTGAAATTAGAAGGGTGATGCTGTATGCTATACAAATTCTTTTGAACTGAAGATGGTCGACATTATTACAAAGGGGGAGAATGTAAGGGTCGAAGACCTGTTGTAATATGTCGAAGTCATAAGTTTATTTTACAAGGCATTTATGTAACGAAGCGTACTTGTTTAGTCCTTGTAATTTTTTGTGTGCTTTCATGTTTTGTATAAATAGGGACATTACTTAGAGTTAGATAAGAGTCTTTGGATGAACTTGTCTATTTTCTCTCTGTAACATTGAAAGCATAATAGAGCTAAAACCAGATCATATTTACATTGTGTGTTCAATCTATATTCTGATTACTCTGATTTGATTCATACTTGATTCCACACTTCATCAGATCTTATCGTTGGTGAACCGAAGACCTGAACAACTACCGTAGAGATGAATGATGCATGAAGACTTCATTGTTACTTTACTGACTTAGCGTGTTTACTATGTATTATCCAGTGAACCTTGCATGGTCACTGAAGTTAGTAGTTTAGTATTAGTTTATTACTCAATGTTACTTTTCGGGACTCTATAAATAGAGCATCCCTCTTCATGTACAGTTACCCATTTACCATAACTATTATCGAAAATACAAATATCATTCATCTCTATCTCTATCATAAATGATAATCTGAGCTCCTCTTCACTTTAAGTTTATCACATTTATTAACTTGTGTTTGAATGCAAACCTTGTTATGAATCAACTTGGTGTCTACTTGATAGAACTTGTTTTCATTTATATTTCCTTTATATTTCCGAAATCTAACACTACTAACTTATGTTTTTAAGCTAACAAGATCCTCGAGATTAACTTATTCCGCAACATATTATCTTGTACTAACGTTTGTTCAAAGTTTTTCTCTCAACAATTGGTATCAGAGCCAAAAGTGGTTGCTTTCTAAACAAAACTCTGATTTTTGAAAGCCTTCTATACCACTGAAGCTCATTCTTAAAAAAAAACAAAGGAAATATGCCACAAGATTTTTCACTAAACGTTTCCAACAGTGTTGGAGGTTCAAACATATCTCCAATACTTGTTGCAAATGAAAACCACCATTGATATCAGAGAATGGAAAGGTATCTTAAGAGGCTTGGTAGAGATGTATGGAGGTCTGTGGAAGAAGGACCTCATGTCCCTGTTCTCACTCCCGTTCAAGCAGATGGTGCCCTGGCACGACTAGGTAGAACTCAGGTAGCCATGAATCGACCAACAAATGATGATCTTGACAAAATGGAGAAAGATGCCATAGCCTTTTACGAAATTTCATGTGGTGTTGCTCCAGATAATTTCGACATCATCATCAACTGCAAGTTTGCCAAGGAGATCTAGGATGTGCTCAAAAATCTTTACCAATGGTCAGAACAAGCTCACGACAAAAAACTCACCATAGATCTCAATGAATTTAATAACTTTAAAGATCTTCTTGGTAAAAGTCTTGACGATTCATTCAAACGGTTCAATCTCATCATCACAAAGCTAGCAAACGCTGCTACAGGTCAAAGTAATTATGACACAAACCTGCAATTCCTGAATGATTTGGGAAGACACTAGTCTACTGCGCAGATGATTGTCTAGGGGGACAGAAAGATTCATACTCTATTTTTTTTCAAGCTATATGGAGAACTTCAAGCACAAGAATCAACCATGCAAATGGATTGTGCAGATCTGGGTGGACCACTTGCCCTGACGGGTCAAACCCCACTAGTCAAAACTCCTCAATACCCATATACCGCAGAGCCATCATACCAACACTCATATGATTAACCAACACAGTCGTATGAAGTTGATGCTGAACTAGATGATGAAGAAGAGTTTCAAAATACTATCACATTGGTCAGCCAACAGTTCAACAGGCTTACACCACCATCATTTCGTAAAAAACAACAGTTTACCAAACCACATTTTAATCGCAACTTCAATCCACAAAATAACCACTCAAGATATATCCCAGAAACCCTCACCATCCAAAGATACACCGCAGACCAAAAAACCTTCAGACTCCGGTACCACTACCGAAGATAAAGATGGAGTCATTATCTGCCATAAGTGTAATAAGGAAAACCACTTTGCCACAAACTGTAAAAAGAAAATGTGGTAAAGGAAAAGGCATTCTACCTTAGAATGGCCCAGGAAATGGAGGAAAAAGAAAAGGCAAGAGCTTATGTTGCTCAAATAAGGAGGGATCATCAAGTGTGGTCATGAAGATATGAAGATGAAGAGATTGACAACAACAAGCAAAAAAGAAAGATTTTCATGATGACAACCACCGAAGAGGATGAATCGACGAATTTGCAGAGGAATTACTGTTACATGGCCAAAGATGGCACCCTCAGCATCGTCGAGCAGGTAAACATTATGATCCTTTCTAATAATTACGTCATGCATGATTGTGAACCATACTTAGAAAGACTTAATGACACATGTGTTGCCGTCCTTTCAGACTAGAAGATAAAAGGCTTAAGGTCACCATGTTAGA